TACTTGAGCGCGAAAAGAGAGGTGAAGTATCGAAGAAAAGGAAATACCATGAACTGTCAAAAAAGTATAACATCATGAGAAAAGGAATCTGTACTGTAATTGAAGAGTTGAAACAGAGAATGCAAGCCAAGGCCTTCAAACTAAGAAGGTACGAGCAAAGGACGCGACAATACCAAATTAATCGAATGTTTCAATATGACCAAAAGAAGGTATACCAACAACTACAGGGTAAAGACAAAAGAGAGAATACAATACCAGATGCAGATGAAAGTAGAAAATTTTGGTCGAACATATGGGACAACGAAACACAGCACAATAAAAAGGCTAAGTGGTTAGAGGAGTTAAAAAACAACAAACCTAATCTATCACAAAATGACATTGAAATAACAACTAGAATGGTAAATCAGCAAGCCAAGAAGATACCCAACTGGAAAGCTCCTGGCCCTGATGGAGTCCAGGGGTTTTGGATAAAGAAACTTACATCTCTACACGAAAGAATTGCTGCCCAACTCAATGATTTGATAAATGATGAAATAGAAATACCCTCGTGGATGACCACCGGCAGAACTGTGCTATGTCAAAAGGATCCAAAAAATGGCAATGCAGTGGATAACTATAGACCCATATCCTGCTTGCCATTAATGTGGAAGCTGTTGACAGGAATCATCTCTGGAAATGTCTACACGTTCTTGGATGAGAATGAGATGTTACCTGAAGAACAAAAAGGCTGTAAAAGAAATAGCAGGGGTACAAAGGATCAGCTTCTGGTGGATAAGACGATTCTTTCTGATTGTAAAAGGAGGCATAAAAACTTAGCCATGGCGTGGGTTGACTATAAGAAAGCCTACGACATGGTTCCCCACAGCTGGATAATAGAATGTCTAAGGCTCTATAGAGTATCAGACAATGTTGTTAACTTTATAGAAAGATCGATGACCAACTGGAAAGTACAACTGACATCGTGTGGGGAAACTCTAGGGCTTGTAAATATTCGCAGAGGAATATTCCAAGGAGACAGCCTATCACCACTTTTGTTCGTCATTTGCATGATACCCCTTACCGAAGTCCTCAGAAAAGTCAAAATGGGATATACATTGGATGGTGTTAAGATCAATCACCTGTTGTTCATGGACGACTTGAAATTGTTCGCGAAAAACGAGAATGAAATTGACAGTCTAACATCTACTGTCAACCTTATTAGTCAAGATATAGGAATGGAATTTGGGATAAAAAAGTGTGGTGTTGTGACCTTAAGAAGGGGAAAATTAACAGGAAGTGCAGGGATTGAACTTGTCAATGGGGAAAAGATCAAGGAGGTTGGTGAAGAAGGATATAAGTATCTGGGAATAACAGAGTTGGATAGAATAAAAGAAGAGGAGATGAAGAAAATATTTCAAAGAGAATATTTCAGAAGGGTTAGACTTGTCATGCAGTCAAAACTCAATGGAAGGAATAAGATTAAAGCAACAAATACCTGGGCAATCTCCCTGATGCGCTATGGAGCAGGAATAATTAAATGGAGAAAAGACGAGCTAGAAAGTATGGACAGAAGAACCAGGAAATTAATGACAATGAGTAAAGAACTTCATCCTAGAAGCGATGTAGCAAGAATTTATGTTAGCAGGAAAAAGGGTGGTAGGGGGCTGATAAGTTGTGAGTATTGTATTGAAAATGAGACAAACAACCTGGCTTGGTATGTGAAGCATGCTAGAGGCAATATTATGTCAAAAGTGAGAGACCTTGGGGCAATGAATACTGAGGAGGCAGTAGCACCGAATGAACATAAGAATGAGACAAAAAGGCGCTTGGAGAAACGATGGAAAGATAAGCCGATGTATGGGCAATTTACTAAGAATACTGACGGAATTGATTGGGAAAAAAGCTGGTCATGGTTAAGGAACGGAGATCTGAAAGGGTGCACTGAAGCATTAGTGTGTAGTGCACAGGAGCAGGCGCTGCGCACTAATTATACCAAGCACTACATTGATAAAACAAGTGATACGCCTTTATGTAGAATGTGCGGTGACAAGGGAGAAACAGTTAGTCATCTGGTGAGCGAATGTGCTAAACTGGCACAGACAGAATATAAAAGACGACATGACAATGTGGCAAGGTATATTCATTGGTTGTTAGCGGAAAAGTGCGGATTTGAAAGAGCCACAAAATGGTATGAACAGAAACCTGAAGGAGTTTTAGAGAATCACAAGTTTAAGCTACTGTGGGATTTTATGATTCAATGTGATAGGGTTGTTGAAGCTAGAAGGCCAGACATTGTTGTCGTTGACAAGGAAAAAAAGGATGTGAAGATAATCGATATTGCCATTCCTGGTGATAATAGGGTAAAAGGTAAAGAACAAGAAAAAATTGAGAAATATCAACCATTAAAGGAGCAAATCGGAAATCTGTGGAATATGAAGAAGGTGACAGTCATCCCTGTTGTGATTGGGGCATTAGGGTGTATATCATATTGTTTTGAAGAGCACATGGGAAAGATCGGAATTGATGTAAAGTTACAGGTGATACAAAAGACAGCACTGCTAGGAACAGCCAGGATTTTGAGACAGACATTGTCTATGTAAACTTGAGATGACAGAATGGGACCTTTGTCAGCTTGTTGCTGACTGCTCCCTCCTATATTATCCGGACCAATTAACATCTAGGTGTCTGTGAATCACTTAATTAGCCATAATAATAATAATAACTCCGAAGCCAAAATGCTAATGTAGACTAGGATGCAACCCATCAGTGGCTGACGAGTTCAGGACTTAAGGCAGAGAAAAAAGGCTTCATCATCGCAGCACAGGACCAAAGCTTGTTTACCCGAAACTACCAGGCAAACATACTAAGAAATGGTGCCGACCCAAAGTGCAGAATCTGTGTTGAGCACTCCCAGACAATAGACCATCTTGCGTCCGGGTGTCCAGTACTAACCCCAAAAGAATATGTCAAGCGCCATGATCGTGTTAGGCAACATCTTCACTGGGTATATGCAAATATTTCGGTATCAAGCCCATCCTAACTGGTATGAATACCACCCTCTACAAGTTGTGGACTCAGAAAATGTCACCATCTTAAGGGATTTTCCTGTGAATACGGACCGGACCATTCAAGCTAATCGCCCAGACATTATAATAAAGGATAGGAAAACTAGAATGTGCATCTTAATTGACATGAGGGTTCTTACTGACCGAAACATCTCCGTAAAAGAATTTGATAAACTGAGTAAATACAAAGACCTTGAGATAGAAATCCAAAAGATGTGGAACCTCAAAACCATCACGGTCCCAGTTATTGTTGGAGCATTAGGGATGATTAAGAAAGGAACTTAGAAATATAAATTATATTTACTTTTATAACATTTTCCTTTTTTATTTTTTCATAAAAATTGTTTTACGTCTTTTTTACTTTTTTGTGAATTTTGTGTTTGTTGTTAATTAATGTTCGTATCATGACTCATCGGACCTTTATCCACCTTAGGTCACTTGGGTGACCCGGTGGGTAATTGTACTTAAATGCAAATATAAAGAAAATCTTACACAATAATAATAATAACAACAACAACAATAATAATAATAATAATAATAATAATAATAATATAATAATAATAATAATAATAATAATAATAATAATAATAATAATGATAATCATAATAATAATAAATTGAGATAGTACAGTAAAAGAAAACGCAAAGGCTGGACCACAAAATAAAAAAAAATGATTCTCAAGTTTGGCCATAGAAACAAGTCTTCGTCTTATGAGTAAAAGAATGGAGTAAATACGAGATAGACAATTTAATTCATTTGTTGGAAGAAAGAAGTTGTTTTTGGAAGCTATTCATACTTGATAAAGTGTCAATGTTCCGTGAAATGTTGAGCTAACTGTTGGAACCGTTTAGACAGATCACACTGAAGAATGTTTAGCGTTGTTCAACTGAAATGTTGAGAGCATTTGGCTGGGGATTCGGAGCGAGTTCCATCACTGTTTCTGTGTCATTAAGTTGAACTTTCTTTACCACAAAAAGCAAATCATAATAAAAAACCATTACAGGGGTTAGAAGCCAATGACATTTTCGAGTGTCACGTGACACACTCGAGCTGTCGCGTCAAGTTTGAATACTGTGCTAGCTCGTGACGATATGGACACTTTTGAAAAACCGTACATGATGCAGAGTCCGAGAAGTAGGCAAATTTTGAAAAGTAAATACACTCAAGGCTGGCACAAAATCCAGTTTATTTTTTTGGTTTGTCACCAAGATTCTTTACCACTCGAAATGGGACCATTTTGAAACACCATTTCATAACATAGAGTACCGAAGTGTGACGTCACCAAAAATATATTTTTAGAATTTCTAAAATTTGGCCGCATAATCTGAAAGAACGGCATAAAATACCTCTCATTGTGTAAAATTAGTTAGATATGTTCCAAGTTGGGCGAGATATGGCCAATGAAAGATTTCAAGTTTGCTAAGGGATTACTGTTATTCTGGCCTGGTTCATAAAGTTATGAACCAAGACCAAATTACAGAGGTTTGATGAGGCAAGAGCCTGTCCTTATATGGCCATATCTAAGCCAATTCGTGATGCCTTTAACTGATTTTGCATGCTAAGAGGTATTTCATGATGCTCTTTCAGGTTCTGGGATCAAAATTCATAAATTCTAAAAATAGATTTTTATGTCGTCATCACTTCGGTACTTTATAACCATTGAATGTGGAAGATATCACAAATTTGTTGGATTTTTGGGGTAATAATTGAACAACATTTCAGAAAACAGACCTTTCAGAAAATATTCACGTCATTTGCACATTTTTCGCTCAATTAGAAAGCTGCTCTTGGTAAATAAACCCTACAGTGCCCCCCAGCACGCTTTTTCTCCTTGAAGTCACTATAGTACTTCATATAAGAAGATTTGACAAAAAGTTGACATTCTATTTACATTGCTCAAGAGACAATACAGGATAGAGTAAACATAAGAGTCGAAAAGTAGGGTATACGACTTACCGAGACTTGTTGGCTGGTCTGGCTTTTTCATGGCCACTAAACGAAGCGCGATCTGTATCCGATGAATGGAGAGTCACTTCGACTATCGACTCCGTATTTGCATCCAACTCACTGAGTGACCAGTGCCTTCGTACCAAGGTTTGGGCTGGATCCTTCGCTTCAGGACTTCGCGACCTCGTAAGGTAGCGTAACGGCATATTTACGCTACCTCGTTTCGGCGATTCACGTATCATTGATTCAGAAGCATAATAACCGGACTCGGCTAAATCCTCATTCGACGGACTCAGAATCTCTTTCTAAAGACGAAGAAAGTATGTTGATAGGTAACGGGTGTCTTTAAATACTAAAGAAGATAACTGCTAAATGGTCTTCGCATAAAGGAACAAATATTATATTGATAGGTCTCTAGGAATCATAGCAACGTATATTAATGATACAGAGACCTAACAATATAATATATATTCCTCTTAAGAGTTTGATATGAAATACACTCTTCTTTATAAGAACAATTTTATAAGAACACGAGCCTCAAAACTGGTAAAAAATTAGGAACAAATGAAGAACAAGCTGAAGCTGAGCTACTGTAAAATGCAATTTGAACAACGTTTTATCTAAAAAACAAGGATTTTTTAGCTAGATGTGGATGCTTTTCGGTGATCATTCAAAGTTGTTAGCAAATGAAGGTTGTCTCACTCAGAGCGGAAAAGTTAGCAATTGCACTGCTTACACCTGGAGTGCATGGGGCTGAATCAACAGCTTGAAAAAGTATACTGCCATTAGATCATTGGTTTGAGAAAATTATTTAACCCTGAAAATTTCTGTACGTAGAATGGGAAATTTTTCACTCGTGGAAACGGTCCAGTGCAAATTAAGTCGTGAAAATGAATCAAAACTTCAATTAAATTTGAAGATGGGACGAAATAACGGAAACATGGCATACTGAAGAACTTTTCGTCCGACACTCTTCAGAGTAAACGTCAAATGATGTCCGAAAGCTTGCGTCAAATGATGCTGAAATATTTTTAGTAACGTAAATGAAAGTAACGTGAAAGAAAAAGAGACGTGTTTGATTGGTTCTTTGTTTTTTAACCAATCAGCGTCCTGTTTTAGCTAACCTAGAGATCAACTTTGTTCTCAGATTTGTTTAGAAAAACAGGGGTTTATTGGGATTAGATTTTTCATAAGAAAATATTGCGAGGGGGGTTGGGGAGCTAGCAGGCAGCTTTACAAGGTTAAACCAAAAAATAAATGAACAGAAAAACGGTTATAAGCACTAGAAATATTTTTCTAGGAGAGGACTTATTATAATGGAGCATATCTGCATCGTCTTGAGAAGCATTGCAAACAAAAAACTGTTGAAAATGAGTTTAGAGGAGATATGTCTCATAAGATAATTGAACTAAGATATTTCTATATATGTTGAGCTACTCATCCCTCCCCATTGTTGCACAACATATGCAAAGTACTGATACAGTGTTTCCAAAAGTAAATTAAAAAATTATATTTCCATTAACATGACACTTTGATCTTGAAATTTATTTCAAAAAATTGGACTCAGGATAACCAAATCATATCGTATCAAAATTAGATGAATAAAAAAAATTCAAAGCAACAGATCTATATAATACAAATTTCACTAGATAAACAGTAGGTGAAAACAAGTTTCGTTGATTGCTTGGTTTTCTAAAGTAAACATAAACAGTGAGATTTGAACGAAAAAGGAAGATACTTTTCAGAAATTTATGATAGTTTCATGCTATTGCAATTCTGTCACCAAAAAGATTTTTTAGGTGTCTTAAAGTTTCTTTTCTCCTAGTTTCCACTGTCTCTCTAAACTGTCGTTATACAACTTGAGGATAAAAACCCAATCTTTGGGTAGTCACCCTTTAAGCATAAAAAAGGACTCGTTTGCTTAGCCTGGAGTTTTATCATAACAATAATAGAGACTGATTTTGCGCCGAGGCTTTTCCAATACTTGAGCCAGCAGTTTAGGATCAATGCGAGGGAGACGGAAGGAGAGGGATGCAGCCGTCCACAAAAACAAAATAAACATCAGCTGCTGTCTCAAGCACAAAATTGACTCTGGAAAAGCTAGACTTCCATCTGCTTTTCACAAAAAGGGTAGGCCAAATAACCTAAGAGAATTTTTATAGCGAATGAAACAATTTATGATATAAGAAACATAAGGAAAGTACCTTCTCCCTGACTCGATGCAGTGATTCTAGAAAAATAATGCTGACATTAATAAATATGAAGAAAAGAGGCAAGAAGAACATATATTATATGCTTTTACTGTTACCAAGAACAATGCTAGGATAATACCACATAACTTGACATGCAATCACCATCCTTTGCCACATTAGTTCACCATACAATTCAATCTATTTCGGTCATCCAAATAAAATAAGGTTTTGTTTTCGTGCTCGGATATTGCCAGTGAAAAGTTTATCAAAGAGCAAATGCTTTTTGGCTTGGTTAACCAAAAAGTCAAATTACGTTGATTTGATCGAAAAGGAGCCTGTGTCAATGCTGCTATTTTAAATCTTTTTTGAATAGATTCAACGATTTCAAAGTGGTATTTTTTAATTATCATTTTTAGTTTGTATGGTCCAAATTCAAAATTTTTTACGATAGATTATTCTGTGGACACCATTTAATCACTATAATGAAAGAATAGATCTTGTAAAATCATTTGTGGCAACCGGAAGAGAGAGAGAGAGGGGGGGAGGGTGTTTGCATTATTTAATTTCAAAAAATTATGAAGGGGCTTTATTGTTGACAAAAAATGTTTGCTATAAACCCAGACACCAAAATATGTACAAAACAAACATTAACGAAACTGTCACAAATCGATAGTTTAAAATATCTCTATTTAAAATTGTCTAACTTTCCCTGAACAAAAACATACATAAGAGGAAAATATGTCTCCATGGAAACCATATAATCTGTACAGAGAACTCTTGCTAAAGAATTTAATTTAAAAAAAAAGCGAATTTTATTTGAAATGGTGCGCCGCAGTTCCATTCGCATTTCTTTGTGTTTAATCTTCACATAGATAAACTTCAAACTCGACAATACAATATACATGAAAGCAATATAAATCTGAGCATTGTAGCAAACATATTTGAATCAATCAATGAAAAATCACATATCCAATGGAAAATTCAAAGCTGAAATAATGGGAGAGTTTTCACAATGCTTTTGTGGTCGACATCAATTCAATAGGAATATATTTCGTTTCTCAAAGTGAACTGAGCTTGAAAACAAACGATTTCTAATACAAGCCCTTATCTTTGTTTACGTCCCCAGCCTTGTTTAAGCCGTCACCCTCCTTTTAACCTCCAATGTCGTATAAGCATCTAAGCAGCCACGTTCGAAAAAGCCCAAAGGGTTTACGGTTAAGATTACGGTGGCTGTCTCACTCTGCAATTAGCTTGAGCATAAAAACTTACATCCTAATGTTAAAAACGGAGAGAAGAGTTAAATTATTTTCTTTTCAACAATATAATAAAGATAATTGTATCTTTGACCCATCAATGCAACATTTTTCAACTGTCATAAGTTGTGCGTTCTACATAGCCAGAGTCGCACTGGCAGGTAAACACATAAAAATAGAGCTCTTTTGGCTGAAAGGAAGGCAATCCTTTTGAATGGGTGAAAGGGCCTTTTTTGTACTATAAACAATACGAAAATTGACAGCAAAATGTTTTTGTAAAGACCTGTTTAATCTTACTCTCAGCTTGCAAATGTTACCGATCCATGGTAATTTTAGATAAACTTGGCACTTTTGTGGACTAAACTTCATCTCAGCAGGAAAACTTGCGATCTTTCCCTTGACGTATACTGAAATAACACATTCTGGTAAGCGGTTATCAAGAAGGGTCCCAAGTAGATCGCGTCCAAAGTAAACTGAAGGATAATTGACTGAAGGGTAGTGAACTGAAGGAATGATAATCACCCTGGGACTCCACAGATAATAACTGCCACAGGCAAGCGGCACTGATTGGGTTATCTAATTTACCTCTTATGCGCTTGCGATTCTTATTGGCCTATTTTGATCTATAGCTGGGTATATATATTTCCTTTCAGACTTTTGATCAATTTCTCACGTTTATACTCGGAAGAGTCTCATAGCAAAAGCTTTAGTATGTATTAAAACATTTGTTTTTTTTAAAACTATTTTTACTTATTATGAGATTCAATTACAAGACGCGCCTCTGACCAGGTAAGAATAAGGCAAAACCCTCGCACGCGCTTAATTAGATAAGTTTTTCACACAAAGAACGAGTAATTGTAAATCACTTTCAGATTCGTTGTCCGGTGTGCCTTTGTTGAAAAGAAGAGAAAAATCTTCCGACAGTTAACTCAATATATCCATGACTTTTCACTTATTCTTCATCTCGGTAACACGTAAAAACCGGAAAATATTTCTACGGTGATGTTGGCCATTAATTCCAAAACAAAATATTTGAAACTGGGTGTAAAGATCCGTCAAAAATAATTTTATCATGAATAAAATATCTCAAGTCAGAACAAAGTTCCGCTTTGAGGAAATTTATCCGAAAATGATTAAAGCAATTACCTTCAGGCCCATAGGATGCACCACCTCCATGACCTCTATCACTTACGTCAGAACTTGATCTACAAAAGTTGATGATTAATAAAAGTTAATGTTTACCAGTCTTTATATAGTGTTTGATGTTGTATACGTACAGGGCTTCTCATGCTTTGGGATCTTGTTTTGGACACCATCAAGCGGTCTTGAGGAAATATTCGATATAAAATTGGTTCATAAAACTTCTGTATGCATGAGGCGGGGGACCCAGCTCAGTTTATAGATAATAGGCCTAATGATGTAACTTAAATTCAACATAGCAATCAGATTCAGCTTCCTTTAGAAATCATGGTGTGTGAAATTTTACCAGTAGGTAAGAAAAAAGTTGAAAAAGAATTTTTAATTTTCAAACTGTAAAAGGATGAATTGCTCTACCCCCAACTAAATTGATGCAAAAACTGTAATTTTCAGGAAGAGATAAATGAGAACAATAATTCCCTTGTGTGGCTTGGGTGGTTAGATGAGAGGAAACCACATTCCTGTTTATCTGGCCAGTATGGCATTAGATAATTAACATTGGCAAACACTTCAACCCAAAATAAAATGTCTCCACAAACTTTTATATAGCTTTTTGTAAAACCATTAAGCAAACACTAACCCATTGATGGCTCAAAGGAAGGAAAACATTTTAAGGGCCAAACCATTGAAAGCCTACACAATCTGGCATGATAGGCCATACCATACCAACATTACTGGCATATTATGTGCAAACATGTTCTTCTTAGGACAATGCCTGAGATTGGAAAATTAGTTTTCAAAAGTCAAAAGGAGAAGCAACAAAAGGGAACAAACACTTACCTGATATGATTAATTGGACCTCCATTTTGAGTTGTTTTCTACAAAAAAACATAGATAAGATAGACAGATAGATAGATACATAAGACAGATGAAATAGAGATAAATTACTCATAACTGGTTTAAGATTAAGATAAGATAGATGCTGGCAAACCAGTTAGGAAAACTTTTTTGTTCCAGTCAAATTATTATAAGGATGACAACTTAGCTATTGACAAAAAGGCATGACACAATATATAAATAAAACTTCAAATATAACTTAAAGAGTTGTCGAGATTATAATCTACTAAGTGAGTAGAACAGGACAGTTCTAAGTTGGAGCTGCGATTTTCAAGCTTAATGCCATTTTTTGGAGGGAAAGTATAATATACTTTCCCTCCAAATATATAATATTATTATATTATTATATAATATATAACAAAAGCGCTGGTGATAAGATAAAGAATTTCAAGTGTATATAGAGTGAAATCCAAGAAAAAAATAGACGAAATTGCTTACATTATGATCAGACAAAGTTCTCTGCCTGCCAACATCAGAGGCCTGAGATCCCCTAGAAAAATAATATCAAACTCTTTGAGCATCAACAAGTATGCTTAGTATAAGCAAAGTTTTATTTGAAAAACCAAGTAGCACACACCTTTGTACATATTTTATTTATAAATGTGCAAATATGTTGATAGAGTTAACTTTATCTATGAAGTTGTTAAACAAAGGCACAAGTTTAATGAAAATTACAATAAAACATTATCAGTAACAGAACAATGTTTATAGAATGACAAATTCAATTTTGTATTTTAAATAGCTTAAAGGCAGAACAAAATAGTTGTGGGTATTGCGTACATGTGTACATGTTTAGGGCATATTTACAGTAGCACATTTACGATATGACTCCAACTTGGCCTTTGAAGTGAGTGCAGGTTTTCCAAAGACATACTCCTGTAGGAAATTTTTTTAAGTAAAATGCAACAGAATTAAAAAACTTGTTGAAAGGTCCTGAAATTTGATTGAATTACAGAGTACAAAAAACGTATATAGTCACTTAAATAAATTTGGTTTTTCCAAAGATTTACTTACAGCCTCATTCGGTTAAAGTCGTCTCTTAAAGCCTGCTCTAATGCACCATCATTTTGTTTATTTGAAAAGAGTTGATCACCAATATCATCACATACTTCTGCAAGTCTGAGTTCAAGTCTGTAAAGCTATGAAATGAGAAGAATACACAGTTAAATGAACAACCAAAGCTAAAGAAAATTTTATTTCAAGGAAGCCCAATTAGGTAATTTTTTTCAATTTTCCAGATAAAAATAGTCTATGGAGGCAAAGTTCACAAATTAAAGAAATTGCAAAAGGAGGCAAAAAAATCAGATTTGACAATCAACAAATATATATAAGTTAAGTCTAGTAAAATTTTGAAGGATGTTTTATCTACAAGATGGATGAAATAGCAACTCAATGGTAGCTTAATTACAACCTGTTCAAGCATGGTTCTATTCTAGCATGAGACTTAAGCTTTATTAAGAACTGGATAGTACCAGTTAGGAAGACACAATGGTAAGATAAAAAGATTTAAAAATTCATGTCTTTTCAATAACTTTGATGTCAAATTTAATTAACTGTTTCAGGCACAAAATGAATGATTACTTGGACATCTGGTACTACAATCAATGTGGTAATCACTGTTGTAAAGTGAAACAAAAGACCTTATTTAGTGGAGTGTTTGGTTCTAAATCAGCCTCCATGCTTGTCGCAATACAATAGGCATAGCTTAGATTAACCTTAAACATATTTTGAGGTTATGAAAAAATTGAAATGCCATACCATACTTTGAAGCATTCATATATAATCAATAACAATCATCAACATATATTTTTTTTATTTTGTTCTTACCTCTCCTTCTAAACTATTTGGATCAACAAAATGGCTTGGAGACCTAAAATGATAATTAAACAAAGATTTTGTTAACAAATTGTAATAATACAAAGGCCAGCCAGAGCCACATTATGATTATTATTTAATTTTAACTTCTACTACATTATTCATAATTCAATATTATCTAATATTCATTATTACAACTCAAATTACTCATTATTACATTTGTAATTATTTAACTATTACATTTTTATCATTTTTATTTAAGTGACATTCTGACTTTTAGTAAAGTTTGTTTACTTTTGTATAAGATAAGATAAGTCTAGCCTACTGAAATAGGATAAACTAAAATACAAATTACACAAAAAAAAACTAGTGGACAGCTGAATATAATTAGCTTGATTTTTTCCAGTATGCATCCAGTGAAATTTTTCATGGAAGTTACAAAAAAACAGAATAAAGTCGTACATAAGTTTGTTGATGAGATTGCAAATTATTGATTGTATTTGATAATTGTTATCAAAGCCTGTTTTGTAAAAAAGGAAGGTTGAAATTAGTTACCTATCTTGTGTTGAGGTTCCTTGAGATTCTCCAGGCTGTTCTTTAGCTATTGTAAGTTGTTCCTTCAGACGATCATGTTTGTCCTTCAGGGCATTAAACAAATTTTTCTGGTCTTCAAATGAAAGTTCGCGATCAGCAAGTGCACTTTGAAAAGCTGCTATGTCGTTTTGAAGATCTTTTAGTCGGTGAATAAAATTTGAATTGAATTTACCTTCAGAGTTAGGCGATTGAGGGACACCATCTTGGACACCGACTCCAATTTCAGCCGTTTGATGAGGCCAGTTAATTACAGCTTTTTCCGGGGATGATATTGATATTGGTTGTGGTGTCAATTTAAATTCAACGATTTCTAATGGCATTGCCTGGTGAGGTATCGGGCCATTAGAGAAGAGATCGACTCTCGCTGCGATACGCAACTGATCGATCGTATTTTCTGCCTGGGCATGTTTAGCAAGCAGAAGGTCGTACTCAGACTGCAGTTTCTCATATAGCTCATCAGCCTCTCGTCGTGTAAACGACTCTCGAAGTAGACGGTCATTTAGGCTCCTTATCTGCTCCGATTTCCCAGAGCTAGCCTTACTGGATATTGTTATGTTACCATCATCGCTGTCTTCCATCTTGGCTTATCATCATAAATTCTAAAATCAACTCAAAGCTGTCTTGATTTAATCTGATCTTCATTCTCTTGATCCGATGGTAGGCCACGTTTTTGACCGACGCACATGCCTCTTTTATACACAAAAATAAATTATTAACGATGCCCTTGAATATTGATCATCAAATCAAATCTCCTTTCGTCTTTCAACTGTTTGCTTGCACTTCAAATCCTTGAAATTCCTTGTAGTGGATAGTCAGTGCGGTTATAACCGCCAGTTTCAAAAAGGAGACGCTATTTGCAGTTACAACAAGTCAAACGATACACATCAATTCTTATTACATCTGTCACATACGTTGTTAACAACAGAGGCGAGTTTGAAAAGCTTTTTAAAACACAATGTCCACGTTGAATTCGCTACGGGAACACACGAACGCGTCAAGTTTCCATAACAAAAACTGGCTGTATTTGAACTTCTTTGTTTGATGTAAAGTCACATGGGACAAAACAACAAGTCGTCTTTTCAAAGGGACCTTCGCAGGGGAAAATATTCTCTCCAAAGGAGAAAGAAAATCTGTGTCAAATGTTCACCAGTATGGTTAACGGCAAGTCGCAAAATATAACAATCTTTAGTACGAAACACTGCAATGTGTACTTTGCAATGTGGTACCAGGAAATGGGATTTCTGTGGTGCTAAATCTTCTTGGAACAATACTCCATTACACTCTTTTTTTATAAGAACAATTTTATAATGACACGAGCCTCAAAACTGGTCAAAGGTTAAGAACAAATTAAGAACAAGCTGAGGCTGAACTTCTGCAAAACGCAATTTTGAACAACGTTTTACAATTCACGGATGCATACAATATCAATTCAAATCTTTCCAGCCTTAAATCAATTCAAAAGTTCAGCTTTAAACAACAAGAACCCTTTGTTTAAGGAAAGTTTGTCGTATAACGCCATTGTCTCCTTGCTTCTAAATAAAATGAAAGGTCTGTGTTGATTTGAAGAATGGACAACAAGATCGATGAAAATGCAATTTCAAAAAGAAACCTAGCAGGGTCAGGAAGATAAAGAATTTGAAGCATGACAATTCAACGGAAAAACACATTACTATTTCTATTGAATACAAATATTTTAGGAAATCTGGGCGGAAAGAGAGGGAGGGGGATGGAGTGAAATTGCTTTATTTCAATAGCAATTTCGGGCTATAATGAAAGAAGATTGTCACAGTATTTCATTTTAACAACAACAACAGAAGAATAAAACGATAAGAACAGCGAGAAAGAGAACGAGCAAAACAAGATGCTCAGGGGCGTCGTGGTTAAAGTTTTCCCAAAGTTTTAAAGATTGAGCGCATCAGGATGAAAAAATCCTGCCGATATTTTAATAGAATTTAAAACTTGTGTAATCTCATTTTAAATCCGTGTCTGACCAACCTAGTGCCTGGGCCTGGCTTCATTCTTTTGATGACAAAACAGATGATTCTTTCAGTGAATTTGAGCTTTGATGCATGTATATCAATTTTTAACAAAACATTTTATATTACACATTAGGAATTGGGCAAAGTTAGATATTTTGTGACGTCATCATTGAAAGTTTAACGGTCCATATCTCTTAAAATATAAACGTCACAGGGTTGATGTTCTATAGATTTTTTCATCTCTTTTGATGCTTTTTCCAATGGTTGCCTCAGATTTAGAAAAAAATAACTTTTATTTTTTCTGATCGTAAAATGAAATTTTGCCTTGTCACGTGACCGGAAGTAGAATTTGAAATGGTACCTGGCAGATATGAATTCTCTGGCATACTGGCATCATGAAACAGTTATAAGAACCTTGACAACACCTGCGGTTAGTTAGTTACGGTTATTTCCCTGTCTACAAACCCTGAACTTATCATTCAATTAATGACGTACTATTGAATTTTAGGTGCATTCATTAAAGTACTCTCTAACTATACAGCCATACTCCAATTGAGAATTAAACCGAAAGCGTCAAATTTTCTGGCGCCTTCTCCCCTCAATTTCGATTTCCCTGCAAGGAAAAAGCATCAAAGTCGGTTCCTTTTGCAGAGTACTCTAGCAGAGGTCGAGCCACTATGGCGCAAGAGACCTTCAGTCATGCTCAGACTGTATGTCACTGTTTTGGCGCAGTTATTGTGAGCATTTCCTTAGAAAGTGAAAAGAGAGCCTTATGTCAGTAGTTAGGGTCTGAAGCTGTTGTCTACAGGGTACTCTCGTCACCAATTTCTGAAAATTTTTCAGCGCGCCCACTACCAACTGCTCCTCCTCCTTCAAATTTGCTATGGATCCGCCCCTGGCACCGAAAGATTTCAGTTTTTCATGGAACTAACTACTTGTAGTTTCTTAAAAAGATCCCACTTTAAATTTTTTTGATGAGCACATGGTATAAGTTTTTCAAAACATTAAGTTTCTTAACCGAAAATTTACTTTGCCTGTTAACAATGATTTACCTTAACTCCCGTCAAAAAGAATATAAACGGTGCAATGGTGCAGTTTAAGATCCAGTGGATACAAGGGGTTCACAATAGAAAACTATTACTGGATGGGTCCGCTCCACCCTGTAAATTTTGATAAGTATCAAAATTTCTACATTCAATATCCCGAAATTCCTAACATTTAAAATTCACAAGCTTGGGCCCTGTGTTTTTATTATTTATTTTAATTCTTTATTCTGCATTTGTTTTAAATCAAATGAATAACGGAAAATAGAAATATAGGTTTCTATTACCATTTTATGAACAAATTTATGGTTTCAAAAAAGGTATGGCAAAATCCCGATAAATCTTCTTTACCAACGGCGCTATTATGCACGCGAAACCCTTGGTACCCTGGATGCCAGAGTCTCCATTAAAGAGTCTCAGAAATATAGTTCGAAACTAGTCACAGAAATATTTTTTGCGTGACTCATTCTTTGCCAACACAGCCGTCTACAGTGTCTTTTTTAACACCACCATGACGAGGAAACGTGCAGATATAGCTTCCATATAGCCAGGGCCTCCGACGAAGGGGAGGGCCGGGGGGCCTTGCCCCCCCCCACTTTTTTGCAAAACAACAGAGTTTTTTTAAAAAAATTTTTGCTATGGGTTTTAAATTTTCCCTTGGCCCCCCCCCTCCCACTTTTCAACCTTTGTCGGAGCCCATGATAGCTTAGTGCCATTCTAGGTGAATTTTGCAACGACTTCAAACTACTGAGGCAATGACCTTCATTGTCAGAAATATTTTCTTTTGATTCCAGCTTCCATGGGAGGTTCACCTCATACCTCAAATTGAAGTTCAGTTGTTGACATTTCTTGAATGAACGCGATCGTAGAGTGAAAGATACCCCCCAAGAGCCAATAATCAAGCATGGTTTTAAAATAATTTCAAAAAGTGACAGTAACATTTTAATGAGATAAGCACATCAGATTTTAATGAAAAAGGATTTTTCAATGCTACAGCATTTCAACGAAACAAATCGTACCTTAATCAGCAAAACTTTCGGACGGTTTTATTCCGGACGTTTGATATTCGGACAGAAAATTTCGGGCCAAAAATCTTGATTTCGGACAATTTCAGTCAAAAATTTCGGACAAAATGAAATAGACGCCAATTAATTTCGGATGATATCTTCAAGTTTCATGACGCAACACATTAATATGATAGCGAACAAAGCACACATGGTTAAATATCTGAATGCAGTTTTATGTTGTATCAAGATCGAGGAAGGGTTTTTCTGGTTCCATTGTTGAATAATAGGGCCATTCATTAAAGACATATTGAAGTTTCTTTTGATCAGATCTGGTTTGTTTTGCAGTCATACAAACCAGTCAACCATCTTGCATGTACGGACTTGGTAGATAAGATATAGTTCTGATTTCCTTGCCTACGACAGTAACAGTTTTTTCATCTGATTAACCAAAAGTATTATCTTGAGATCTGAAAATGCAGTCAAGTTTTAAAGAAGTTATTGGTTGCAGTGGCTGGCATTGTATTGTAAAAGTTTGCGACAGAAAGTGAAATAGTCAAACACAGAAAAAAGTGAAATGAAGAATTTGGAGAAAGCTAGGGCGCTAAACATTCTTGATGATGAGCATACTGACGACAAGAATGAATCAAGCAATTCAAATGACGAGAAAAGTCCTGTATTCGTATTTGATGACTGCAAGTAGCATGCATATCTAAGATAGCTAAAAGAACTAAATATTTTCATACTTTCTTCCTATTTCGTGTCTACCTGTATTGGTATTGCAGTTTCGCAATTATCAACGTTTCCTGGCCAATAAATCATATTATAATCTTGGTAGAGTACACTTCTCAAAGGTTTTCATATTGTTTATTGCCAGTAAAATTGTCGGACGGTGAGAAATTCTAACGGTAAAAGTTTCAGACGGTAAAATTTTCGGACCGTGAATTTATTCGAAAATTAAACCGTCCGAAATTTTTGGGAATTAATGTATCTTTCGTTTAGTTTATGGTAGTTTTATACATTGTGGTTTGGAATAAAACGTGTTTGAACATTTCATCACTGCACAAATTCAATTTCATTGCTACAAACATTCCTCTCATCGTGCACATTTCATTTTTATAATATAATATATTTTATATTAATATAATATAATTTTTTTCATTTTATAATATTTATACAGGTTAAAGGTTCATACATATGTTTTTCAACCTGACCTGTTTAAAACTGCACAAATTGGTCATCAGTGATTACATAACTGCAGCTTAGAATATTGCTGGTTTTTATGTTATATCTATCTGCAATCTTGCTATTTTCAGGTGAGTACATCGTGATTTGCTTGTTATCAAATGTTCATGGCATTAATAATAATGATATGGAGGCCGAGGACCGTAATGCCTCGAGACAAAACTCCAAGAAAGGAATATCCTGACGAGGTTGCACATTCAATATATGCTAATAGCATTTCATCTTGTAACGCCTCTTGTGTGTCTTGTGATTGCTTAAAAGACTGTCACCGACAATAAGCCAAAACAGACTAGCTTAGAAACTTAAAATGCACAAATTATGCAGCATTAACACGAAAAAAGTGAACACCGCGTACGCAGAGCATAGTTTTCCAGGACAGGTTTACGCATTGAATGGCAGAGTGAAGAATTTGTTTAACCTGCTGAACACTTTGATGCCGAAAGCCCTTATATATATCATGATGCCTAGATGAATGTCGTCCAGAACGAGAGTTTCTCAAAACATACATTTATTTGTTGATGACTTAATGGCCGTTATAAAATCAATTTTAAACATCGGAATGCCAAAAATGCTCATAGCAAAGTAATAATGTGCTCATAGGGGTCTGGGGGATAGGCTAACCAACACAAGCATACGTCATGTTCTTGATGGCCCTTGATTACATGTTATTTAAAATATTTTAGTTAGCTGATGTTATCGATTGTTACTCTCTTATTTTTAATTTTATATTACATACGTAACATTGTAAGTGATGTTGTTGAATAACATGAAATTGAAATTGATTATAGTCTGCAAAGAACCTCAGCACAGATTTACTGATGATTTCACTACAAATAATCAACTTTCAAGATGACGTCATCGATTACGATTCTATTAAATGCTTCTATCGTAACTTTTCAGTGAGCCTTGAAATCATATAAGCAGTCGTGTTTCGACTTTAGCCGTTTCGAAGTTCAAGTTTTGTTATTTTAATGGACAATGGAATGAGCGAAAACAGCTCAAAAATAGGTTTCAAATGATGATAGTTTTATAACTTTGGCAGTGGTCATATTGCCCTGTCTCATTTCTTTCCGGATAATTCAAAAAATAAATATGTTCTGAATTCATCTTTTATGGATGCTTTCAATAGTTTTTCTACTAAACCTCTCCCCTTTTTATCGTTGAACGTTTTTTAATAACCATTCGTATTGGTAATCCAGGCCAACATGACTAGTAGTTAGAAGCCAACTAAATGGTCAGAAGTTGAGGTCTCCTTTAGGTGATTATTTTTTCTTAATAAGCAATAAGCAAGCAAAGGTTTTTCTAAAAAGAACGCAATAAATGGATTAATTTCTGAGAATGCATTGAATATGACCTAAAATTGCAAGATTCCTATTCAGAAAGATCTTGGGCAGAAAACACAACGAGTTGTTTGCAAAAATAGCACTTTAGATATAAACCGTACAAAAATGTGCAGAAAAGAAGATTTGAAATTGTCCGGTGGAATTATTTAAATACACGGGCTAGCCCCATTTTCTAGAAAATCTTGTGACCAAGTTGTGTTTAAAGAGATAGTTGCAGTAATTGCAAAAGAGACAGAATCGAAACATCGCCGCTCTCACCGAAGGTGGGCACCGAACAAGCTTACAGTAACTCTTGTGGATTCTGCATGTTTCACAGTCTTTACAGTTGTACGATTTAGGATCACAGGGTCACCTTCAGCTAGAACGAAAACATCAAGACTTTATTTACAGAAAACTTTTAGCCTTTATAATTCTTAAAATGGAAAATTTAGCTTAAGTCGAGGAGTGTGTCACCAAAAGCGCACGATAATATTTAGAACCATAAAATTTTTTAAAATTTATTTAGCATACGATATATTTGTGTAGTGATACGCTTAAATGATGTGTTTGCGTGTTTGCTCTTCTATTCACAATACGATATCAGGTGTAGCTTAAACTTCCTGAGTATAACACAGAAAATAAAAGTGAACACAGAAAAATTTCAGCAATGATGACGGAACAAGGAAAGGTGTAGTTCCAGTTAATTGACCTTAGGCCAGGTTTCAATGGGAATGCTCCACGTTTTAGAAGATAAAAAGGACCGGGTTACAACTTGTAGAACAAATTTACGAAGACGGAACAAACCGTTTTCTTCCAATGCATCGTTTTCTGAATCCTCCAATGCCTCTTCGTCCAAAGCTTCTGGATCTGAATCGAAGTCATCTATTGGATCACTTTCAACTGTTTCTCCGTAAACGGCCAAAATTCCAATTGCCAGGAACAGGAGAAGGCTAAAACTTTTCATGTTGGCAATGTTGCAAATAGCTACGGTAAATGAAGACAAAACATTCACTACAGAATTTTACCAGATTTATGTAATTGCAGTAATGCTGACAGGAGAAAATTGAACCAAAAATGTTTTACAGATACTTTAAACAAAATAAGTACTGCAACTAGAAAGAAATTGTGCTAATATATTTTGAGCTTATAAAGAACAAAATAAAAACAGACAGAGACTATAGCTTACCGTCAGTGCTACAACTGTATGGATATGTTCACTCAGTTTCTGAAGCTGACAGCCCCCAAAGCAAGAAACGAACCAAAATCTTGAAAGCTGCAGAGTTTCTTTTCTTACTTAAAGCACGGCTTGACAAAAGAAGGCGGTCGTCTTAAAGCATAGTCAATTGAAAAAGCCAAAGTCTGGAGTATTCTATCACTATTTGAAAGCCGGTGTCATATGCGTTTCTCAAATTATGCGTTTCACGCAGTTGAAACAGAATAGGGTAAACAAAAGTTTACCCCCCCCCTCTGTGCACCTCTCGGTATAGATAAAGGAATTTGGGGTTGTTCTCATTCACAACTTCCAACCTTATCCACAACCTTACCCATGCCAGCTATTACCCTTCCAACATTATCCATAATCTAACATAGTGTTTACAGTCTTTTTGTGCCACACAAACATGTGAAAATGTTAACTGTCTTACATAAGTAAGGGGTTATAGAGGGAGACTCTTCGACTATGAGTATGTGCTCTTGCTAAACAATATTGTTTTTTCGAGTTGTATGACTTGTTTTCAAAATGATTTTAAAAAGCAAACATTTCACAGGGGCAGGTCCAGAGTGAGCTCCTAGATGCCAGGAACTCAGACAGCTTTCCAGAGTCTATGTAAAGAATGATTGATATAACATAAAGATATTTCAGCAAAACAATCTAGCAAAGCATCTGACAATATACAGGCAGCCCCCTGAAAACACTGAATAGCGTTTTGATACCTGTTTCGCCTGAATCGTCCTTCTCGTCTTCTCTCCTCTCCTCCTCCCTAACAGGAACGAAACCAGCACTGAAAAGGTGGGTGGGAAACAGGGGGCAAAGCCAAAAAGTTTTTTCCGAGGGGTAGCATTGCTTTTTGCCAACAAAAGGGGTGTGTTTCACTCTTTTTGGGTGTGGTCATAAAATAAGTAATTTAATATGCTGTTTTTATGTGTTTCTATTTCAATATTCAGAATTCTAAAAATCTTTGCCCAGGGACAAGTATGGGGGGTGAAGCGCCCTCCTTTAGCAACGCCTCTAGCGGGCAATGCCGAGTATAGGTCGGCTTGTCAGCTGAACAAAGTAAAGGAGCTTGTTGCTTGTTATTTGAAGGCAAGAACTTAAGTAAAATGGTATTGAAAAACCTCCAAAAAATTGATAACTGGCAATTGATGAAGAGTTTTATAGAGAGTTATTATCTTGCACCGGGTAAAGAAGTTTTGCAATGTAATGAATCTTTTGTTATAGTCTTTGTAATCTTCTGTCATTGGCGATTAGAAACGCAAGTGTATAAAGATAAGTTTTGTTTTATATTACGCATTTCAACAAATAAATCCAAAAAATTAACTGTAATAGGAAGAGCCTTATTATTTCGTCTACTTGAAAAAGAGTTTTCAAGGTTTTGGCTCCCAAATATTTAAAAAGTCACTAAGCTACAGTGACATTAAAGATTGTCGTTCAAAATGAACAAAGCCTTTTTCAAAGGAAACTAGCTGCGGGGGCAAACCTTTGTTTAGTGAGTTTTGCTTCTTCTGCCTGCCCGGCATTAATTAAAGTTGCGCACTTTGTTCACATTACATATTTACCAAAAAGTATTTTCTTCAATGATACTGATGAAGTGTGATACATTTTGCTATAGGGCTACCTGAAATGGTAATTGCCTTTATAATCCATTTTGTCTGTTGCCCTGGTGGAGGACGAGAGTTTAGTTTCAAATCTCAGGCTGCTTATAGGTACTGGATTGTTTGAAAATTCAGCTTTTTTATGCCAGTCACTCACTCTTTTCTGACGTTCTGACTGTAAATGATACATCTTTTTGTTCCGAGAATACCCCCTTTCAAATGGCACTTTCGGATTCAGCATCTTTGTGGCTTACTCAAGACAACGCTAGTAAAGTTATCTGTGTGCAACAAGAGGCCACAGAAAACTGCAAGAATGGGGCATGGTCAAGTTTGCTTGGCTCTTTCCACAGCTGTTCTGAATAATTCACACTATCCTGAAAAGGGCAATTCAAAGCTCTACTCAATGGTTCATTTGCTACTCGGAATTCCAGTGTTAATGATCTTTTTTCACCAGTGGCGGTTTTTCATAAAATTTCAGGAGGGGCAACAGTGTGAAATTTGCTGACTGTTACATGGTAAATGGTGTGGCTCATGGTAAAAGGTGCGGCTCAAATAAGTTTTGAACCATTCCCAAAATGTGATGTGATTACTTTCATGGTCCAGCAAAAGCTAAACCTTCCTCTGACTGCCCTTTTTCTCAGCTAAACCTTCCACAAACTTGATAAAAACTTAAAATAATGAGTTCCACAAACTTGATATTAACTTAAAATAATGAGTTAGCTCAAAATCAACTTTCTTTGAGATTTTTAAAGCCGTACTAATACATGATACTTAGTGCTTCGTAACCTGTTTCAAAACAATTTTTCCGAGAATTTCTCCATTTTATATCCACCAAGTGGGTTATCATACGATATAACTAGCAGGGTTCAAAGGAATGCTTATCATAATCAGCGAAACTAAACGAAACAAAATAATGCGAAATGTTAAAAAAATATGGTTAAAAATAGCAACAAAGTACGTCAAAATTCTAAAAGCATATCATAATATTATAATAAACCCAAAGGAATCACTAAAAGCCTCTTTAAATTGAGTAGAAATAATTTTACAAATAGCTGATGAGATATCTTTTATTTTAGTCTTTATTCGGATTATTTTAATTCTAGCCATTTAATTCTGAGTCATAAACCTCCAACGTTCCACGAGACAAGCTGTACACATTTTTATTTCTATTTTTAGCCTCAATTTCGTTTTCAATTGAAAAAAGCTATAGCCCCTTGAGTTGTTGCTGACCAATCTTGTTCGTCTTTAGTTTTTAGAAAGACCCTTTAGAACTGGCTGTTTTAGCAAATATATTTGATAGGCTCTATGCAGATTAGGGCCTTCCACAGTCCGGTTTTATGCATGTACATTGCAACCAACTCTCCCTTTTTCCCCTTTCTCGTTGTTTTGGAAGCTTTTAACAAAAGGCCTTCTGAATACTAGAAAGAGTTAAGGCATTTTGCGTTAAAATCTGGATTCTCTGACAATATATTTGACCTATCCTCCATATCGATTCTGCTTTGCTTTCTGTGGAAAGGAGTGTTGTTGGAAACAAGGCGGATACCAGATATTGCTGAGAAAACGACAAAATGGCAAATACCAGATATTGCTGAATGGTAATTTTGCTCCACTTTTGGACTCCAAGGGGGGCAACTGCCCCCGCGCCCCCTTATAACCGCCACTGTTTTTCACCTATTCATATTTCATTATCCTTCTGTGGAAAACAATCTCATGACACCTATATACCAAATCATTTTGTTCCTTTTTTCTTGCATCTATTACAGAGATACTGGTTCAAACGGATAGCAGAACAGCAGTGATGCAAAATGAAATTCAAGATTGGTTAAGAATCAAACAGAATCCACTGAAAGGAAAGATTTACTGAAAGATGTTGATTTATTGACCAAACCCTATGACTGCTCAGGAAACAAGACTACCAAAACATTCAAAACGACAGTGTCAACTGAAAATTTCAAAGTTTGCCAAAAGAGTTCTGAAAGACACTGATGCATTGAAGCAAATTGGATGATCCAAAAGACTGTTGTGTGTCTGGTAAGAAGTCAACCCAAAAGTTCCCTGATAAAAATCATAATGACATCGGTTTGTTTTATGAACTCATCGATAAGCTTGATGATAATCGAAGATATGGTTTGATTACAAGTGCATGAAAGCCAGAGAAAGATCTTGATTTTCCAAATCCACAAAAAATTCGAAAAGAAGAAAATTTCAATATGCTTGGCTTGAAAAGTTTTCATGGCTAGTATATTCTCAAGCGTGTAATGGTTGCTTTTGCTTATCTTGTCTTCTTTTCAGTAGCAGGTTTGGTCACAATTCTTCAAAAGCACAACAGCTCATAAAAGAGCCAATTACCCACTGGATTATATCGTTTAAGAGAACATGTATCTTCATCCTTGATTCACAGAAATGCTGTACTGCAGTCTGCAGATGCTTCAATTTAAAAGAACCATGCAAAATAAACGCACCCCAGTTAACCAAATGATGACAATACAAAGTTCAAACACTGTTGCAAAGAACAGGAAAAAAATCGGGTCAGTATTTAGAGGAATCAAGTTTTTGAGACGACAGAATCTTGCTTTCAGAGCTCATCTTGATGATGCAAAGTATAACTAACAAGAAACGTTAGAAATTTACAAGCTCTCTTGGATTTGATGGTTGAAAGCAGTGGCGGATCCAGACTACCGCCATTACCGCTCGAGCGGTAGTCAGATTATTTAAAAAATTATAGAAACAAGAATCATTTTCATGTTTATCCTACTACTTTAATTAAACCATATTTAATTATTGAAAATATTTGATCGCGCTGCAAACCAAGCCTTTCTTCCTAGGAACATTGTAAAATAACGTTTTTTTTTTAAACCAAGGTTCTTCAATAGTGAAAGTATAAATTAGCAACAACCAACGATTACAACATAACGACTTCTTTCAACGACAACTTCGACTCGACTGGACTTGCACTCAAAGAACATACGCTTTTAACAACATGAGTGACGCACACAAAACCCTAATGACACGAATTAACGGCAAATGAACTAATAACAACTAAAAAGAGATGGCACGATGACAAACAAAATTACTGACGCAAACATCGAAAGACATTCTCATTAACAATAACGAACCACATACATGATACACGACAGACAAAACTAGTTGTATAACATTACTCCCCCCTTTGAAAGACAAGCCTCCTGGCTTGATCTCTCGAAGGGGAAGAAACATAAAAGTATTATAAGGCAGCACGAAGAATCAATCAAATAATTTTACTGAAATGAGTAAATCAAGTACCATCTAAGAAATAATGTCCCTGTCCAAGTTTATTCCGTCCATACGGTTCTCTACCCGAGGCTATAATAACATTGTGTACACGGAAAGGTCCTTCTCTTCTTTTAGTGTCAATTAAATTTTTTTCATATGTTGTGGCTAATAAACCCTCGTCAACTTCCATTGGTTTTGAAGAAAGCAGTCGCGTCACCATTGGTCGTGATAGTTTATGTGACTCCAATTCATTGACAATCTCCTCCAATTTCTTAACTCGAGTTTGAAGATCTTGAAAGTGTGGCTCATTTCTTTTGATGTTGCCAATAAAGGTAACCCGAGGTCGCTCTTCAGCTACCGAGGCAACAATCACAGGTTCATTTTGATCACACTTCTCCTGGGATGCTAAAGAAAATTTCCTGTCCCTACAATATTTGGCAACGTGACCAACGCGCAAACAACAATAGCAAATGGGCTGGCCATCTTCAGCACGATAGACATTAGTTCGATTCACGAAGAAATTTCTCCCATTCTCCTCTGCCAACCTCACCCTTTCGGCCATGTGAGGTACAACGGTCTTTATAATATCCAACAGAATTTCTCTGAATTGTTCTGTTGAAATCATTTCCATTTTTTTCCTGCGAATTCGTCACGTCGTGGTCACCAATGTAAAATAACGTTTTTTTTTTAAACCAAGGTTCTTCAATAGTGAAAGTATAAATTAGCAACAACCAACGATTACAACATAACGACTTCTTTCAACGACAACTTCGACTCGACTGGACTTGCACTCAAAGAACATACGCTTTTAACAACATGAGTGACGCACACAAAACCCTAATGACACGAATTAACGGCAAATGAACTAATAACAACTAAAAAGAGATGGCACGATGACAAACAAAATTACTGACGCAAACATCGAAAGACATTCTCATTAACAATAACGAACCACATACATGATACACGACAGACAAAACTAGTTGTATAACAACATGCCTGAAATTTCCACAGAGACAGAAATATTTTTTAATGCTTATCGCTATGGAAATTGCGTGCCAATTGCCGAGCCACATGTTTGCAAATAGAAGGCTAGCATGGGGGGATGATGAAATCATAGCTTGCTAGCTAGGGGGGTTGAGTCGGTGTAGAGCGGATTCGAGCTGAACTGTGCGGTAGTCAGCCTGCCTAAACCAATCAAATCGTCAGAAATCACTGCCAACCTGGGGGGATGCATACAAATTTTGTTGACAACCAATGAACAACCGAGTTGACTACCGCTCAGATGGGGGGTTGAGTAGTACTGCCGCTCAAAGCGGCTCAAACGTTACAGAAAGATGGGGGGATGCCTAAATATTCTGCAAACTGTAACTTCAAAGCCGATGTGACCCATTATTTTGTACAATACACAACTAATCGTAGGAATATATTTTAAAAGAACATTAAGACTCATATTCTAAGATTTATTCTAAAATTCAGAAATATTCTAAAATTTAAGAAGGCATCAGGATTAAAAGTCAGGCCCACAATATTCGCCAAAAGTATGATTCTTTGTTTAACAAAAGTTGCTCTCAATAATTTCAAATTTTATCTAGCTTTTTAAACTTGTAATTTCCAACAGGTCTGATTTTCATAAGTAATTGTCCGACTAAATGCGAGTTTTAGGCGGCACTTCAAAATTTATCTTTTTTTCTAATTCTATGGTGTTCCTCGTCTGAATGCCGTAATTTTTATAGAATATCCATCCTCAGAATATTGAATAAGATTATTTATTTCTTCTCAAGCTTGTTGTAAGGATACATGAAATTTCAGTAAAGCACAGCTTGTCTCTTGAAAATGGTCTACATAAGAAATTATAGAAAGCAATAATCATTTTAGAAAACCGGGTGTGACCAAGAAATGGGTGCGGTCTAAAGGGTGTGGTCAACCCTCTATCTCATTTCGGCGGTAGTCAGATTTTTGGCTGGATCCGCCACTGGAAAGTGATGATGTGGTTTAAGGCAAGCATTTTAAGATTGCCCCGAAGAATGCAACGTGATTGCCGCTGCGAAGGGACTAGTAATTCCCGCTGCGAAGGCCCATTTCCCTCTCGCCATGTCCCGCAGAACTTCCAAGAAATGAAGAACTTATTGTTGGATCAACTCAACGACTGACTCACCTAGGTTGTCTGAAGGAAGCAAAATGGACGCAAAGATAGTTTTTTCGTTGGTTCTTCTTCTTGCTTTAGGAAACATAACCTTTTTTAGTTGTGAGCCCGTTTCTCTTGCTATTGGTGGAATTGGTGCAGTCATTGCAGCAGCAGGCCTTGGGAAACAAGGTGAAATGTTTTGTGCCCTAATCCATTTACTTTTAGGCATAAATTTTCCCTAACAAGAAATAGATTATATTTCATCAACCTGATTGATGCAATACCCCCTGCCCTGTTTGTAAAATCAAGTTACTTTACTTGCGCCCCAAAGATTTTAACGAAAGATAGATGCGTACTTGTGAAAAAGTAGAGAGCCTTCCTGTATTCATGATTTATGCGTACAACTTTGAAAAGAAGTCCAGCTTTTGGCTGGTTTAAGATCTTTTTGAACTATATTTTCAAATTGGAATGAAGATGAATCAAAACTATCATAACTGTTCACCCCCAGAGTCATTACTTACTATAAAACATATAATTCATATAAAACTTTTGTTATCACTGATAACAAATTCATACAAAGCAGTATTGAATGCAAATATTCATTATTCTTACAACCAAAATACTGGCCAATGTATCAAAACTTGGACAAAGTTATTATTAGGTCCCCTTCTTCTAGTTTTCAGTAAGTAAGCAGACATGTGGGTATTGTTTTGATATTGCCAGTGTTTATGTTTAAACAGGCAGGAATGACCAGCAGCAATCTGAAAACGCTAAGAACAGGCAGTAATGACTAGAGACAAGCAGAAGCAACTAGAAAAAGGCAGGAACTGCCCAGAAATTGTAGCTCTAAGAAGGGCAGTCGTGGGCTAGGGGGCATGCTCTCAATTTTTTAGGAGGAATTCAAAACAAAAGAGGTTTTTGTGCAATCTATTTTCAAGAGTGTATAACTGGGCTATCAGTGGCTCAAAGGTGTGACAAGATCCCATTCAACAAAAGTTTGAAAATTTTCCCAACAAACACCCCTAAATTGTAAAGACTACTCATTTTAGGAGCTGAATTTTGTTCCCAAGGGGGTGTCACACCCCCATGTCCCTAACAGTAACTTTTTGCATGGAGAACTTAAGAGCATACAGGTAAGTCAATAACATGTACACTAAGACTAACAAAGAAACTTTCAAAGAAAACAAGAAAATCTCACTAAGTACCATTCAACAAAGAAATTTCTTGCCTTAGACACCACAGTAGATTTTTTTCTGAGGACCTGAGATCTCTGGTGAAAGATGGAAAATCTCTCAAGTTTGAATTTGATAGTTTTCAGGGGGTGGCTGGACTAGAGATGCTCTACATTGATTGTATCTTGACTGTTTTTTCCCTACTCAAAAGTATGCCAAAGCATTGTAGTGACCAAGGGGATTGTGAATTAGAAATGAATAGCCAGACTTTGTAACATGGGAATGAAGAGATGAATTAGTGAGCACTGTGGTGTTTTCTTAGCACTGGTGAGTTGGAATTTGTTTCTTATACACTTATATTTGAAAATTTTTGCACCACATTGAGACATGTTAAACAGTGGCAAACAGATTTCAAAGATTTGAGACTGGCCAATAAAATATTTGCATTTTTGATATTTTAAAAATACATTTTTCTCAACGTTTTGATTTAAGACTTACCATTAATGGCTTCACAAAGTGGTTTGAATTTCAAAAGTTCTTGTTGTTTGCAACTATGTAGTCATTACTTGTTTGTTGAACTGGTGCAATACTTTTCGAACATAAATGTAGTTAAGTGTAGTTCATTGGTAGAAGTATTAAACATTTAGATGATTATGTCAAGTTTCTTCTTGGCAATATAGGAATTTGTTTATTTCTAGGATATTGCTATTTCAAAGAGTGTTGCCAACTAAAGTGGACCTATCATAATATCACTGGCTTGGAGCAGTACCTAGAAGCAAATGTATTTGGACAGCATCTTTTGCTGAAAATTGTTACTAAAGCTATAAAAGAGCATAAAGAGGACAAACATCCTGGTAAACCTCTTGTTCTTTCATTCCATGGAAGTACTGGAACTGGAAAAAACTTTGTTAGTGGAATTATTGCACAACATCTGTATGGAAAAGGATTGGATAGCAATTATGTACACCGTATCATTTCCTCGCATGAGTTTCCCCTGCAGGATAGTGGTAAACTTGATTGGTATAAGGATAAATTGAAAAGAATGATAAAAGATGGAATAATGAAGTGTCAATATGCATTATTTATTATTGATGAAGTTGACAAGATGCCACCAGGGCTGATAAATGTATTGAAGCCGTACCTTGATTACAATGACAAAATTGATGGCTATGATTTCCGAAAATCAATATTTATATTCTTGGGTAACACTGGTGTGGATGAGATAAATCAAGTAGCTATTGATTATTTCAAACAAGGCCTTTTGCGAGAGGATATCTCTATGAAGTCAATGAACAAGCTCCTAAAGACTCTATCTTATCACACAGGAGGTATGGTCAAGTCAACTTTGATAGACCATCATTTGGTTGACTTTCATGTACCCTTCCTTCCACTTGAGAAAGCACACATTCGTTCATGTGCAGCTGTAGAATTTAAGAAAAGAAACCGAAAGTATGATGAAACTCATATCGAACAAGTTGTTAATGAAATAGAGTTTTTTCCACAAGGAGAGGACATATACTCTGTGTCTGGCTGCAAAAATGTTAAAAGAATTGTTCAAGTGATACTATAAATCAAGTCTGAAGGTATTGCTGCACACAAACATCTCTGATTTTGTTTTCATCTGTAGATTTAGATATCCAATTGTTCTTTGCTGTCATGCATACAAAGTTAACAAAGTGAACAAACTGAGACCTCAGCTTGTTGTGTAGTACAACATAAATATTTTCAAATGTACCATTTCGGTGTTTGTGCTGCCATGATGAAATTTCCTTGTTCAATAGCTAGTTCGAAACGTTAATGTGGTGCAAAGCTTAAAATTCATAAAGGCTGCTCTTCCATTACTTTGGTCGTAAAATTTCTTTTAAAAAGAGAAAAATACTTTTAGAATGAAAATCTGAATGGTTATGGACCTTTTATAATTTATAAGCTACAGAAGAATTTACAAATCTTGATGATATAGGCCTCTATTTTATTTATTAAGGCTTTCCTCCATTTGAGTCTTGGGTCCGCACACTCTAAGATGGTCTATGGAAAAGCCTATTACTTTGGAAGCTCGATTAAGTCCCCCCCCCCCTTGACCTCCCTTGCCACCATTCCTGATTTTCTCTTAACAACAAAATGCAGCATAGTTTCTCAATTTAGAAGTCGAGATTCTCTGTAACAAGACATTGTTAACGTGCTAAATCGTCAATTATTGCGATCGGAATTCCTCAGCAGCACGTTGCAAACGATATAAACCCCCTGGAATAAGATTAAATTAATAAGTATACAGCACACTCGATCTCAGTACGGTATATCACTTACGTACGGTCAATGTCGCCTTATGTGAAAGGAAATTGTTCCTTGTAACTTAATGAGCGTTGAATCGAGCAACGCCTCACAACCACCATGAATCGCATCTTCTGCTTTTTCAATCTTCGTACGCTCCTGTATCATGCCAAAATTTCATGCCTCTCTCCAAGTACCTGCTGTCATAAAATGTTTTCTTAATCTTCTTCACTTTTAACATGCCTATGTAAGTATCTAATTGCCTACCTTCAATTTTGATAAAATTTGCAACCATCAAATATTATTAAATTTTTAGCATAATTCGAGTTATGGGACGTGGCATCCGAAATGTTATCTATTTTTAGAATTCTGATGTATGGATTAGCATCTATTTTAAGGATATTGTGTAACGCCAGCATATTCCCAAAGGTTGTAGACATTATCAATTTCATCTCGTGCCCATCTCCCCTTCC